GTGTTGGGGAGGTCACCTCCTAACAAATGTCCTTACAGAAAATCTAACTGCTCGTTTTAAATCAATACTTTTACTTTTAATACTTAGGTACAAAAATATCAAATACTTTAAGACTTTTACTCAAGTACTATTCCTAAAGGAGACTTAAACTTTTACCAAAGTAATTTTTTGGTAAGATACTTGTACTTTTACTTGAGTATCACTTTGTGGTACTTCATACAACGCTGGTTTTTTTAAAAYCACGATCTGCTGTGTGACGCTCTGTTTGCCGTAGCGGGAGCGGACGCTCGCAGGGATGAGCAGCGACTCCCGCTCCTCCGTTTTTTTGTTCGGAGGAGCGACTCGAACCTCACAGATTAAACTTTGTTTACGCGCTGGAAATGGCGAATCCCGCCGCGCATCCAAATCAATCACAGGGTCCTGTTCTGCACAGGAAATGGCTCAGGTATGTCTTAATCATGCTAATGGGAGTTTCAAAGATCCTCCTCTTTGTTTTAAGCCGGGAAGCCGTGCTCAGGTTTACCGGTGAGAGTAGTAACGGCCCTCGGCTGCCTGCGGGAAGCTGATTGCTTCATCAATGAGGGGGGGATTAGTTTGAGGATGTAAAACAGAACGGCTGAGTGTTTTCCTCTTCTTTGCATCAGCTCTGTCTAACAGGCAGGATGGATTAAGGCCACGGCTCCGATACAACAGGGCCGCTCTTAAATGAATGTTTTTTCATTAATGAATCATAACGTTGACCTTAATTCTTTAATATTTTTGCACTAGAATCTACTCCGGTTTCCACAGATGGAGATAATGAAAGAGCGAGGCCTTCTTACAGCCTCCGTTGCCCCTGGAAGTTCAGTCTCTTATTAAAGCAGTTTTTTCTCTTTCAGTTTCAAGCTTTAATTAAATTTCAAGCAAAAGTTCTAAAAGTCTTCCGGCTGAACTTCCTCTCTTATAGAATGTAACCGTGTGTAATTATTGCGTTGGTTTGGCTTTTAAAAAAAAACAAAAAACATGCAGTTGTTTCACCTCACAGCACTATATCTTTGTGGAAGACTCCCAGGAAAGCTGCTGGAGTTACTGACGACTTCCTGTCGACGCGTGATGTAATCGACAACTCTGAGTTGAATCAGCTGGCTCCTGGTATTCAGCCCTAATCCAACCATCATTTTCACTTCTTTCCCAACAGTTTCCCAATCTGTTCTTCCTGCCTTCRTGAGAGCGGAGCTGGAAATGAACTGGTTTCTCACCGGTTTGAGCTTCAGGGATGGAAACAAAAGAGAAGAGTTTGTTTTGTCCCAGTTCAGGGGCTGCAGCCCATGGAGGCCACACCTTCCACRGTCTGGCTGCAAAAAACGGCTGTGAAATGTTACAGAAGAGTTACGTTTTATATCATGTGCCTTCAGTATTAAAACGCTTCTTTTCTCTAGAAGAATAACTTTGCAAATAAAAGCATTACGGTTGTTATGACTGAGCAATGATAGGAAACAATAACTGAGCTTTACCTGGTGTCTCCTGCATAAAAACASTGTTTTAACATCTCATAAACTCTAGCTGCGTTTCCATTGCAAATGTGCGCAAAACTTTGTCGATATTCTGTTAATGTCGAAAAAACATAGTTTCGCAACTGCAGTGTTTCCATTAAGTAAGAAATGCTATTAAAGTCACACGTGAATACGTTTGATCTCGCGATAAGTCATAAACATGGCTGCGATGGATGTAAACACATAGCATGTTGCTACCACGACACTAGCACTCATCATCGGAGGAGACGTCGGCGTCTTTTATCGAGGCTTTCCAGAGACAAGTCCCTACTTGGGAGCGGCTACRTATGCTGTGTTTTTGGGAAATTGTAGTCGGTGAGTTTACTACTTTCTTTAACTACTTCTGTGATATTACTACTACTTCTACTTCCTGTTCTCGTCTTCGTTGTCATCTTTTTTGCCAGTAGTAGTAGTAGTAGTAGTACATTTGTATTTAAGATGCTGGTACATCTTTGAAGCTATCGCGGGCCAAATGAAATACTGTGGTGGGCCACATTTGGCTCGCGGGCCTTAAGTTTGGCACATGATATAAAAAAATAAAAAACATTAATATTTGGGGAATAGCTCCAGGATCAGTACTTTCAGTTGCATTTTATTTAACAACAGCATACATTTAATCAGCTAATTTGCTAAACAAACATGTAAAAACAAATTATTTGGTCCGTGCTGACTTTCCAAACTATGCCGACTTGGTAAAAAAAAGTCTTGATTTTCCTGTTCAGTTTCTGACGGTGCAATGAATCCTGGGATATCCTTGGCCAGGAAAAACACTCAAACGCAGCCTTTCTTTTTGAGGTTTTCTGGCTACAAATGAGGACTTAGACAGACGTAGCCCCTGAGTGAGACGTAGCCGTCGTGTAAAACCAGTTCCCACCATTAAACCTTCCACCTTTCCTGTTTCTCTTCCCTCCACACAGGTCCAGAGGGGCTCGGCTTCAGTATAACGTCACGGGACGTTCCCATCGGAGGCTCGGCACCCATCTACGTGAAGAACATTCTTCCTCGAGGAGCTGCCATCCAAGATGGCCGCCTCAAGGCCGGAGACAGGCTGTTGGAGGTGAGACAAGTTTTCAAGATTTAWATCCAGAAAGCTGAGTTATGAGATTGTTTGATCCGAGCCACGTTTTTATGTTTATTTCCACTGAACAGATCTTTGTATGTTTCAACTCTTATCTGTCAAACACACACACCATCTGTTTTAAAGTCAAGTGGAACTGATTAATCCTCGATCGGTTTGAAATGGAAATCRTTGCGTCCTGTTCTGAAATCAAAAGCGTGTTTTCAAATTCTTGTGCTGCAGCAACAGAACAGTTTTTTAAACGTTGTGTCTCTGGCACATTTCAAAACATTTGCATAAAGGATTAATTTGCTCGGCTCAGAATTTGTGGTTTAAAACTTTTAGCTTTTACTTTGAAGTCAAAAGTTCATCGGCTTCTCCAATTAGAAAACAATCCGTGTGCAGCTTTGGTTAAAGAAAGACTAAAATGAGTCGAGTTAAACAGTTTTATGAGGACTGTCGTGGAAGTCTTTATTTTACCTAGACAGAAACACGAGATCCAAGAATAAAAAAGTACTCCGTGAAATGCTCAACAGGATTTATTGCAATTCAAGACACACATCATGTCACACAGGGCAGTGGTACGAAATGCTTTGTAAAATGGGAAAATGGTGAAAAGTTGCTGTAAAGGACTGCACTSTCACATAAAAAACATCCAGAAAGAATAATTTTTTACTGCAAGAGCGAGAAATGTTAGGAGAGACCATGTCCTCCGAGTTCTGCTTTTCGTTTAAAGAAAAGCATTGTTTTGATTCAAACAAAGTAAAACTGACTAAACTAAAGATTAAACACAAACTACACCCTAAATATAAAATCCAACCATGCTAAATATCATAAACCTAATTACTCAGTCCTGCTTTCACCGTCTCTCCCTCCGCCAAACTCCATTCAATTTTCGCATCTTTTTATTTTCTTTTTAATGCCGATTTTTTTAACCTTTGACAAGTACCTTTGGGTCTCGTTCAGAAAGGACGACCAGGGGGTTTGTATTTTTTGGACTCGAGAGAAAAATGAGATTAACAGTAAACTGAGCTGTTTTTTCCGCGAAATAACCGTGTTTCTGTCTGAGGCTGCAACGCACTTCAAACAGAACAATCATTTTCAGGAGAAAAAGTGGTGTAAACGATTTATTGTAACTCCAGTTTTACTTGTCCCATAAACACAATTTAAAAACCGCTGTATAATTTGAAATCTCTGCTTTTGACACAAATTGAAACAGAATTTCAGTGTTTGTGGTTTTTTTATTTTTATTTTTTTTTTGTTAGATTGATTAAAACAGGTCATGTGAATCGATCGAACGCTGGAAGCATCCGTTTGTCTCCTCATTTCCACAAGAGGTTCATAAATATCTGAATAATAGGGGTGCAACAATACATGTACCCATATCAAACCRTTCAATACAGCGCTTTAGGTTCAATACACACTTGAATGGAATAAAACAGTTTTTTTTATTTATTTTATCAGCTTGTCTTCTGAAGATGCTCTGTGTTGAAGGATCAGTGGATCTGTGTTCGACTACTCCACCTAGGCTGCATTGTTGAGTGCAGATCCTGTGAGAAACTTGCTGTTTCAGCAACTATACTTAAAGAAAACTATACTTTTGAAGTTAAACAAATGTTCATAATTAATTTCAATAAATTACAAGTCAAAAAGGGCATGGAAATTTGTCTTTTTTATATAAAAAAAAACATCGAACTGTGAGACTAAAGTATCGAACCGTATCGTGAATTTTCTGTATCGTTGCAGCCCTACTGAATAAAATATGTTTGATATACACAGAAAATACTCTGTAAAATCACTGTTTATCTGCATTCTTTTGCCCCACAACAAAATGGAGGTTGAAAAATCACAACATTTAATCTGTTTATTATTTTGTTACTTTTCCATCTCAGTTGAATTCAGCTTCACTGAACAGCTGATTGGTTTAAAACTACAAATTGAAAAAGCTCCATCTTTTTTCTTTTTTGAGTTTCAGATAAGCAGGCTTGTTTCACAGTGACGTTGTTGTTTAGAAGAGGCMGATTCTGTATATATAACCGGGAAACATCAGTTATTTTCTCCTCTTTGACGTCTCTAAAGCAGCTGGTGTTGTGTGCAGGTGAACGGCGTGGACCTGAACGGGCGGACCCAGGAGGAGGTGGTGGCTTTGCTCAGGAACACGCCCATGGGCGGGGCCGTCGGGTTGCTGGTTCTGCGTCAGGAGGAGGCCTTCCTTCTCCGAGAAGTGGTACGTTTAACGTCCACGTCCCACCCTCCCTCCCCCTGCATGGATGGAGAGTTTATYGTCTGCTCACGTTTCTCTGCCCTGTCTGTTAGCGCTCGCCCTGAGCTCTTTGTTCTCATTTTTGAGTTAAAACAACCAGCTCCCGGAGCATGCAGATGGATTGACTCACTCCTCACACGTCTCTGTTATCAAGCTCCTCTGAGGAAACTCCGAGCTCAATTTATTCTTTTTATTTCCTTCAACCCCCTGTCTTCTGTGTTTTTATCTTTTTATCTTTCACCCTCCCCTCCCACTTTTCCTCTCCTTCTTAAGAAAACCTTCTGTGTGTGTCTTCACTTCCACCTCCCTCTCTGGGTTTTACCTCTGAGCTGACTCACAGATTGACGGCTGTTTGGATGAACAGAGAGACTCGGGGCAGGTTTGTAGGCAAAGAGTGAAAAACACGCCTGGCTTGAATATCAATCAGGCGTTACATTACACTAATAGACACATAAAACTTTCTGAGCAGTTATATACCATATATATTCAAGAATAAYACGTAAAATTTAATCCATAAAATCATCCATAAAGTTGGGGGGTAGTATTATACTCGGATAAATATTTTTACTTATGTATTTTAACTGAAATATCGGCTAAATGCCTGAGTACAGAAATGAGACCACGTTGTAAAAAGCAGTTAAAGCGAGCTTACCTCTGACACTCCTCCATGCTTCAGAGCGAGATAACAACAGATCCAGGCAGGCGACATGATGTGAAAAAAAAGGGGGAAAAGCAGTCCTGCACCTTAGTAATGATAACGAACTAATGACATTAGCGTGTGACCGGGCCGCTCCTCGAACAAATACAAACACATGTTCGTCTGTAATGGCTGCCATCTACCGGTGTTCTGAAAAAAATTGTATCCCTGAAAAAGGTTTCCCCACCAGAGGGGGCGCTAGTGAGTAGGAAGTAATCTGCTTTTCCCCCACAAGATGGTCCAAATCTCATGTGAAGTCTCTGACTTTTGTGTTGGCGCCTCCTGGTGGACTATGTGTAAAATGCCAGAATTCATATGATGCTGCTACAGCTGATATATATTTGTTGTCAAAATACCTTTTAGTACATATGTTGTTAAAATAAAATGAACAGTCCAGTGATCATTATGAAATTGGAGGTAGTTTGAGGATTCAATTTTTTATGCTTTTTAAGCTCAAAAAAGGGGGTGGGGGTCGTATTATACATGAGATCGTATTATACATGAATAAATACGGTAAGTTTGTGTATTTTATTATCTAGGAAGAAACTAATCACAAGGATGCAGGTTAAGATGAGCTGGAGCAGAACACTCAAACCCAACAGGCTCTTTAATGCGAAGCGAAGAATAATCGAAATCACCACCTTTCCTCCTCAGCAGCATTGATTATTCACTATCTCCTCAGCTTTTAGCTCACCAGCTTTAACACTGACTTTCTTCTACTGTCATAAAACGAGGCTTCTGCCAGTACGACCAGAAGACTGGAGTTGTTAACGGCACAAACAGCCATTCAAGTGGTGTCAATCAAACGGTTGATTGGAGACAATGAAGTCAGAAAAGGAAGCAGATGAGGCGACTGGCCGGCTGTCGCCAGGGGTGAAGTTCAAGATGGACGGCCGCGGTGGTCGATACTCATCTCCAGATTAGTGCAGGGCTTTAAGTTTGACTGGTTTGCAGTCTTGGATTTATGTGATCCCTGTTTATCAGCTCCACACGGTGAATGTGACCGGGGAGAGACGAGGGCCGGTGCTCAAAATGAACGTCTGGGGCGTCTTTTTAGGTTTTCTCCTGGGTTTTAACTAAACTGAACAGCATTGATTTAAAGACTTAGCACTTGTCTTGGCAGATACTGTCAAGAGAAAACTTTACAGTTCACCAGAGAGCAATTAAAGCAGACTGATCAGGTATGGCTTGTTTGGAAAAGTTGCCGAGTGAAAGTGTCTTTTCTCTTGGGGTGTTTTCWCCTCAGAACTGTTTAGTCTGCTTTAATCAAACTCCAGTTCGATTGCCTAGAAAGTCTGGTTTGTTTGAGAAGCTGTGAATTTATAAGTGTGCTCTGGTCTGCATACAAACCAAGGGCTTGGCTTGGTTAAACTCTGGTGTGACGCTCCAAAAGCAGGAAGTGGACTACAGCACCTAAAGTTACTCCTGTTACTCCTACTCCTCTCCAAGGGACTTCGCGGCAATAAATTTTAAATAAATAAATATTAGTAAAGAAAGAAACACAGAACAGTTTAAATTCACACTCTTATTTTGAAAAGAACAGAGTTTCTGTTCTGTGTCCTGTAGCCTACCCAGAATGCATTGCTTCAGTTTTACAACAAACGGTTTAAAATTATTAATATACAGTATCTGCATGTTTTCTTACTGAAGCCCTGCCAAAAACATAAGAAAATGACAAAGAAGCAGCAGAACTAGCAATCAACAATAATTTTTTGTTTTACAACCATGATTTAAAAGTCTGTTTCTACGAATCACCTCCCCATTCTGCACTGATATGTGCTAATCTGTCAAAGAAAATACTCTTACCACTAGATGGTAGTAAAGCGCTGACTTTTCTCTTACCTGGATGTTTTCTCGTAAATGGAGATTATGTTGCGCTTTAATATTAGCTCCGCTAAGTATTATTGAGCATATGTTCTTTTGAACTTGCGGACCTAAAGAAATTGACTRGCACTTTAGAAATTGTGCAACCAAAATTTAAATTAGCATTGCCCACCRCTGTTCAGGACAYTCAAGGAAACTGCACAACATGAAACATACGTCAGTGAAAAATAGTGCAAAATTTACATAGATAAAAGAAAAAAAATCCTACATTAAATTAAAAAGTACACCAAATAAAGGAAAGTGTGATGTCTAGGATGACACCCAGAGTTGACTTGAGGYGCATATGAGGAGGAGATGTTCAGATTTTGAAATACAGTTTTCAGTACCAACAAGGATGAGTTTTGTTTTATCGTCAGGAGAATTTTTTTTATAAAAAACAGTGATTAAGCTCAACAGGTCTGTGTGGTTGGAGGGTGGGAGTGTAGAGCTGGGTGTCATTAGTGTAACGTTGGAAATGGACACCAAATTTATGGAAGATGTAAACTTAGAGGAAGAAGGGAAATATTAAAGCGGAGGTGCCCGAGGACAGAACCTTGGGGCACGCCAGTGGAGACGGGGGATAACTGAGAACAGAAAGACTGAAGCGAGACAAACTGAGTCCAATCAGACAGATATGATTTGAACGAATCGAGGGGAGTACCAGAAAGAATGAGATATAGTGTGGACGGCAGCAGTCAGATCAAAGAGGAGTTGAGTTCAGTGTCTTCAGAGGTTTTCTTGTGGTTTCCTTCAGTGGTTCTTGGTACAGGTACTGATGTTTTGAACAGGTAATTCTTGGTGTCGAGGTTAGTATTTCAGCATAACTGTCAGGCTCTGTGGTGGAGGAGTTATGCTGTAGACCAAACAGTTCTAGAGGACTTTCTTTTTACCAGCRCTGTAAGTTTAAATCACACATGTCACTTCCTCAGGTAAATAAATTACACTTAATGCAGAATAATGAAAACATAAAGACAGSAGCTGCTGTATTTCTGCTCCAGTTGCCCCCAAATCCTTGCAGACATGAAACAGGACCTATTAATATTTAGATGCAAATGAAGGAACCTATTCAATGTGAAACTGGTTGAATTTTCTAAAATATTTCTTTTCTCATGCAAATGCTTATTATGCTCTATTGTTAATGGGCTAATTATGTGTAATTTACATTATTTACCCAGATTATAGTACTCTGTTGTTGCGCTTTGACTTTATGTTGAATTTGGGCAACTTTTCAGAGAAATACTTACTAAAACCCAGTATTTTCTTTCATCTTAAAAAAACTGGACAAAACTAAATGTGATAACCGTTGATTCCAACCAATTTCAATCCAAATTCAGCGAGTGTATCATTGCACAACATGATTATATAACAGAGTGAGACGCATAGCCAAGATGAAAATTAGTCAAACAAAAACAATCCTTTCTTTTTTTTAAATTAATTTTTTTAACAGCTGACAAAGTTTTTGGAGAAGCAGGAGAAACTTGGTCCAACAAAACAAATTGAGTGTGTGGGCGGACTTTGGAGCTGCCAGGAATGCCTCAAAGCATTTTTACTTTCAGAATTTAGATAAAATTTTGATATTTAAATGTATTTAAAAATGATTTTTTGTTGTTTGTTTGGGAGACAGAACCTTGCACCTTTTGTTCTGGTTCTGCTCTTTTTAACTTCCTTGTGCTCATTTTAGCCTCTTGTTTTGTTGTTGCTAATTTTACATTTTTTCTGCTATTTCAGCTTGAATTCAGCTTTAATTAATCCAGCTTCTTTGTGCTTGTCTTCTGCTAATTTTTTTCATCTTTTTTGTACTTTTTTCTGCCASTTTCAGCTGTTTATGCTTCTTAAAGTTGCTTTCTGTTATATTCAGCTATTTGTTGTAATTTTAGCTAATGTTCAGCTGTTATTAGCTATAGTTACTTTTTTGAGCTAAATTCACATTTTGGTTGCTATTTCAGTTTCTTTCTGCTTAGTTTAGTAATGTGTGCTCCTTATACTTCCTTATGCTAATTTAAGAATTTTCAGCTACATTTTAGCTGTTTTACTGCACTTACAGGATGTTTTAGCTACTTTACAAGAAATTTTCAATTTTTTTGTACTTTCATACATTTTTTTCTCCTAATTAGACATTTMTACCCCTTTCATCATCTGGGTACTATTTTTACTTGTCTGCTACCTTTAGTTTGTTTTTATGCTAATTTTAGCTTTTTCCTGCTTTTTCAGCTGTGTTTTTGCTCTTTTTAGCAATTTTTCTGCTAACTTAAACTTTTTTGTGCATCTTTCAGCTTTCAAATTGAACTTGCTTTAACTGTTTTGCTATGAAACATTTTCAGTTACATTTTAGCTAAAGTTTTCAGCAATAAGCATTCACACAAGCATTTTCTCAGGAAATATAATTACTCTAGTTTCACTTGTTTTACGTACTTTTTGTATCAAATGTAGTATTTGTTCCCTACAGATAAACAGCCATATTTGAAGTGTGGTTGATGTTTGAATTTATGTTTCTGAAATTATTGCAGAAATAAACAAACAAGACATTCAGATTATGGKTCTTCACTCTTTTTAAAGATCCAGAGTTAATATTTCAGGACTAAATGTTCACCAGAGTCACTCTGTGTCTGCTCAGAGGAGTTTCCATGTCYTGCATGTTTCCCCAGCTGCAGCATCACGTCTGATATTTGTATGTTTTCTGTCAGTAAATACATTTTGTTTGACTGTTTTGGTTCTTCTGTCCCCCCTCCCTTCATCTTTTAGAGCACTGAGTCCCAGAAGCAAAGCCCCAGAGACTCGGTAAGACTCCACCTCAACACAAACCAGTAATCAAACCCACCAAAATAAATAAATAAATAAAATCCCATCRTGCCTTTGCAGAAAGGTTCTGTTATTAATTTCCGGAAACAGTGAATGTTATCACCCAGTTGGGATAAAAAACAACAGCTCCAGCCTGCGTTCGTAGCTCAAAGTGCAAATCACTGCTCATGCATAAAGGGTTAGTCAGTAAAACTAATTTTAATCCTTTTCCTGAAGTTGCTTAAACAAATTAGGATTTAATGGTTGATCAGCTCTGCTGCAGGWTCGTTTCCTCCGTTGCTCCCTTCAGTCAACGCTCTGGATGTTGGCTTTTCTTCCCGGCCTGGGATAAGGTTGTCGGTCTGACCTTCTTGCTACAGACTTCCTCTTGTGTGCTCTGAATAACAAACAGTTTCACTTTATTAATAAGGATGCAGACGGAGGTGGCTGCGGCACATTCCTCACTTGAATTTACCGACCGACATGTTGGCAAAATACGTTTTCCTGTCCCRAATTTCCTTTCTGACGTCGAGGCAGCTGCCAGATTCTCCTCCTGTCCTATTGGAAATATTTAAAAAGTATTTATATTTCCATAAATCTCCATAACCTTTAACAACCGCAGACTTCTCGTCCTCACATCTGGCTTTACCTTCATGTTACATCTGGCTGAGTGCAGTAATGTGTTTGCCTCTGCACGCCGCGTTAGAGGCGTAATTGGCCAGTAAATTTGATTGGCAGTTGTATCAGCCAGCTGTGCGGACGGCGCTCGTCACGACACAACATTATGACGGGGACATTAATGATTATTGYGAGCGCTGCCGCCACCTTTCACACGTGTTCGTACGAGGCGACGTACATCAGCTTCATCAGTGAAAAATAAATACAAACCTGCTGCTTTAACAACTTTAAATGTGTTTTTATTAGGTTTAATACTAAAACAGCATGAATGTGTTTCAGAACAACACAATTTAAAGTTGTGTAGGTTCAGATGATGGAAGCAATGTTTTTTTGGCAGATAATTGTCAGAGAAAACCTCTGCAGATGGTTTAAAATGCAACCAGACGTCCGGTGTTTAACCAGAGAACACACATCGCTTCACTTTTTGTGGAGACAAAACCTGCAAATTTATTTTACTACGATGAGGTCATTGTGAAGCTATTTAAAGTCAGAGTTGTGCACCTCAGGRCAGTTTGTTTACAGTTCCAAGATGGTGGATCAAGCTACCAAATCATATCAGAGCAGGAGTTTGTCTCTAATATTTTCTAAATTCTTCAGAGAAATGTTCGAACAGCTCTAACCTGCACCTCTGTAGCTCCTATATACACAGTGGTGGGCAGCACTAATCTACATATTTGTTGCAATAGCCCTAAAGCACTAACTCAAATATTTAGCTCCCCTAATTCTAAAGCAGTGGTTCCCAAACTTTTTATCTTCTGACCCACAAAATACCCATGGCAAAAACTTGTGACGCCAAATATTAC